CCTCCTCCTCCTCCTCCAGAGTTGCACCTTTTGAATCCCACCAGCCCTTTAGGGCTACGGTGGTATAACGAGTTTGTTATTCGCTCTTCCCCCTCCTTCCCCTGTTCGGGGGAGGGGTTTACCCCTCCCCGAACCCCCTTTCCTGGACCTGGAGGGGGGGGGGGGCGGAGGCGGCGCAGCGTCCAAGATGGCCCAGGATGGCTCCAAGATGGCCTCCAAGATGGCCCAAGGTACTCCAAGATGGGTCAAGATAGCCTCCGACATACCTCCGAAAAGGCCCCAAAACAGCCCCAAGACGGATCCAAGTGCCATTCGAGCCCTCCGCGGCGCCCTCCAACACGCCAAAACCCTTCCATGCCTAAGGAAAATCAATGTTTTTGGCATTCTCGCCTTTTCGCGTCCGATGGGCCTCTGGGACCTCAAGATGGCCCCAACATGGCCCAAGAGAGCCCCAAGAGGGGCCCAATAATGCCCAAGACGGCCCCGAGATCGCCCAAGAGGCGCCCAAGAGCGCACCAAGAGAACCCCAATACACCATTTGTGAGCCCCCGAGGGGGCGGTACTAATTGAGGGGCCTCCTCGTTTTGAGCCATGGGGCCCAAGATGGCCCCAAGAGGCCTCCCAGCCTCTCCCAAAGACCCTCCACCCCGCCCTTTTTGGCCCAAGATGGCTCCGAAAGAGCCCCAGATAGCCCAAGATGCCCTTCAAAATTGCCTAAGATAGCCAAGCATGGCTCAAGATAACCTCCGACAGCCCTCCAAGAGGCCTCAAGGCAGCCTCAATATGGCCCAAGATAGCCGAGCGTGGCTCAAGATAGCCTCCGACAGCCTCTAGCCGAGCATGGCTCAAGATAGCCTCCAAGAGGCCTCAAGAAAACTGGCGATCAATTATGGATGGGCTGGTGGGGATATTTTTTGATCTGCGGCTCCAAGGACGGTTCCAGAGAGCGGGTCAATCTCGACAGGGGCGCAACGCGAGACGATTGGCAACGAAGGCACATGGCCAACGCCGCAACGCACGCGCGAATGACAAAATGAACCTCATCAGAGCCGACCCGGGAACGGAAGACGGCAGCAGAGTGGAAAAGCCGGCGGAGGGCAGCACTGTGGCGCCAGCCCGTGCGGGCGGCACAGAGCCCGAGGAAAGGCACCGCCAAACGCGGCGAGGAGGACAGAAGGCTGGTGGGGATACGCGAAGCGTCAAGAATGCTACTCTCCTCTCTCCCGTGACTCTGCCTGGAAGGCAATCGGCCATCCCCGCTCCACACATTCCCCGAACAGTGCGTGCACCCAGGGGTTCGGGCCCTCATTTCTTTCCCAAGAACTGGGCCTGCGGGCAGGTCTGGCGGCTCCGTGCTCACTCGCCGCCCAGTCGCCGCCCAATCGCGGCCAGTCGTCTGGGCCTGCGGGCTGGTCTGGCGGCTCCGTGTTCGCCGACGCCGCCCCGTCGCCACCTCGAATCGATTGTACCGCATAGTACCGCGTAGATTGCACCGCATACATGTCACCGAATAGATTGCATGGCACAGACAGCACCGCAGATATTACGCCGCGTAGATTGAACCACATATGCTACTCCACAGCGATTGCACAACATAATTTGCTAGAAACAAACTGTGTGGGGTCCACGCTGGCCAGCAGACTGTCCTTTTTCACACAGGATTGCACAAGTTTGGTTTCTTACGTTGCTTTACAGACAATTTGCCTTCGGTGTTTTAAAATGGTGTTCCCGCTGCATCGTGGGCCTCATGTTCAGATTGGCGCTCTGCTCCCGTCGTTGACAACGGCGCTCTCGCCCCAGCGCGGGCCACTTTTCTGGATCCGAGTCCTTTTTTTCATCGATGTCGCTCACGTCATGTCCCCTCCTCCACCTTCCCCTGCTCCTCCTGCTCCTTCCACTCCAACTCCTGCTGCTGTTCGTCCTTGTCCTCCTCCGTCCTCATCCTCCTCCTTTCCCTCCTGCTCATCATCTTGCGCATCCGCCACCTACCTCCTTTCTAAAATGTACGAAGCTCCCCCTTTTCCCGATTGCGCATAACACGATGGGGTCGCCTTTTGAGTTCCAGAAAAGTTCCAAGCACGCTTTGACACGCCTCGGCGCCCCGTGAGTCTCCTGTGGTGACTCCCCAGCTCGAATGGAGCAACGTGGGAGATGCTTCGTCGTATCTATAATGATGCTAATTGCCCTCCCCCCCATCCACCTCTTCTCCGTCCTCCTTCCCTCCTCATCCTCCTTCCCCTCCATCTCTCCGTCTCGATCTCCTCCCCCTCTTCTCATCCTACCCCTGCCCAAGCCAGTGGCTGGTTCCTCATGGGGCAGTGCGGGAGAAGCCTCGTCGTACTCCTTGCCCTCCCAGTGTGCCCATTCCTCTTGACGCCACCTCCCCCTCCCCCGATTGAATCGGGCTCACGCTAGCATAGATTACGGCTTCGTGGTTCTGGCGCGTGGGCGCAGGATCCACGGATCGGGGAAAACACCTCCCGCAACACACCACCAATGCCGCCCGATTTGGCGACGGAGCGCGACGATTCTGCACGGAAAATGAAGCCCGTCGCTTACCAACGTGCCTTCACCCACCTCCCCCTCTCAGGCCCCCTCTCCTACCTGCCCTTACTCCCTCGGGCACACTTCTGGGGCAGCCTGGGAACAAACGCCTCGTCATGCGTCCCATCCTCCTGAGTAGGCCACCTCTTCTCCCTCAGTCAGTCAGAAGGTGGAGAAGGAGGAGGAGGAGGAGGAGGAGGAGAAGAAGCCACCTCTTCTCCCTCGTCATTCCCGGCTCCCCCACCTCGATCAGTCTTCCTCATCCTGGCATCCTGGCGCTGTGAAAAAACAGTGCGGGTCGTGCTATCTTGCTGCTGCAATGTTCGGGCTCCGGGGGGCCCTCGGCGGGCCCAAGGACCAGGACCGTCAAATAGCAGTTCAGGATGAAAAGCCAATGGTCCTCGAGACGGGATCCATGCCTCTGGGGAGCCACGTTGTAAAAAAGCACGACGTCGGATGTTTGTTTAGATAGCTCCTCCCTGTCGCAAGACGTGACGATGGGGCGGGCCGGGCGTTTCGCCAGAGGCTTCATCAAGGCGCACCTCCTCGAAGCTTGACGCGCCCAACAATTGTACGGATGGAGCGCGAGCCGCTTGCATGGGGCTATCGCATGAACGCCGCGCACATGTTTTAAAATTCAAGAAATATTGTGATGGACGACGGACCGTTTACTTAGATGGGGCTCTGGCCTCGGCGCCGCGCACATTCGTCTTGAAAGCTTGCATCAATTACACAGACGGGGGACGGCTCGTTTTCAAAGTGGGGCACTCGCCTCGGCGCCGCGCAGATTCGTCTTAAAAAGATTGCATCACTTGCGCTGATGGAGGGCGGTCCGTGTTCAAAAAGGGGTGCCCGCTTGAGACTTCCTATGGGTGTATGGGCTGGAATGCAATCTGGTGCATCAGTTCCTCGGGTGTTGGGCGGCTCTTCCTTGTCATGGGGCTTGCGCCTGAAACTTCCTGGGCCTGTATTGTATGCCAAGGGCGTTGTCATGATGGGGCTTGACGACCCTCCCTCCCTGCACCCCTTCAGGCCAGCAGGATGGAGAGCCGGTCCTCTACAAGAACGGGGTCCCACCTGAGCGGCAGGCCCACAGGGCCCTCGCATGTCAAAGGGATCGTCTCCCGTAGCAGGAGAAACATTGGTCGCAGGGACTCGGGACAGGAACGTGCATGGCAGCATAGACGCATCTTTGGCTCATTCTAAACTCCTCCTCCTGCTCCTCCTCCTGCTCCTCCTCCTGCTCCTCTCCATCTCCTCCTCTCCATCTCGTCCCCCTATTCGCCTTCTGCCCCTGCCTACTCATGCAGAATCCAACCCTCTCTTCTCCTTGTACAATGTACCCTGCCATGTCCTTCCCATGGGGAAGCGCGGGAAAAGTGCCGCGCGGTGAGGACTGGCGGGCACGAAAAAACAGCCAGTGTGGCGGCAAAGGGGGAAGGCACTTGCCGCGCTGTGCGAGAGGGCGAGATCCGACCGCATCTGGGAGGGGAATGAGGAGTGAGATGAGGAGAAGGAGAGAGAAGATGAGGACGAGAGAGAGGAGTGAAGTGGACGAGGAGAGGGGTGAGGAGGAGCTGGAAGAGAGGGCCTCATATACGTATACAAGAGTCACAGGAACTTGATGCGGACAGGAGATCGGGCTCTCAGCGTCTGCAGTCGGGAAAGCAGTACTTGAAGGTGGTCCACCACGAGAAGAGGAATCAAATCTACCCTGCGGCTTCAATGGCGCCCCGCCGAGGTGGTTTACGCGGGCCGCTCAAGCGGCACACCACCGCGGCACACCACGCTCGAACTTACGCGAGCAGCTCACGCGCGAGTGTCCGCACAGTCGACCCAATTCCCTGAGATCCGACGGCACCTACAAGTTGCAACATCGCAACGAAAACAACTGAAACAGACCCCGGACCCCGCCTTCCTGAGCTTCTTGGAGCCGGACCGATCCGGGAGGGTCCCAGAGCCCAAGACAGGACACAATCGTCCGATGTGAAATAACTGCGACGCCAGGAGCTCAGGGTAGGTCCACGTCGTCCATCGCCCAGGTGGTGGATTCGTCCCCTCTCCAGGCAACGACCTCACCCCCGAGCGAGGAGGCCCTCGTTACACAGGGCTTCTGGGGAAAGAGCAGGCCTCAGCGCTGCGGCATCCCCGTGTGACACGGGCGGCCGCGCCGATGCGGCCACACGCGGAGAACCGATCCTACCTGTTGCATCTCCAGGGGGCCTCGTCTGGTCTGTCGCACCGCGATCCGCGTCGAATTCGCGTCGCATCCATGTCGAACTCGCTGAGGCCGCGTCACATCCGCGTCGAATCCGCGTCGAGTCCGCATCGAACCCGCGTCGGGCACGGGAGAAAACGCCAATTCTCAGAACAATCAAGATCCCCCGAAGATGCAACGTAGCCGATGCAACTTGGCAAGAACCGGTGCGCTGCCGCTGCAGGCGTGGCAAGCTTAATTACCGGGTCCCGGGCTCGATCGGCCCCGGCATGCCGGACACAGTGATCTTCCCGATTCGCCCCAAAGATGAGCTCTTGAGCATCCCTGAGGAGACGTTCAGCTCGCCCATCCCCTTGTGGGATCTGTATCCCCCTGGGGCGTTGCTCTTGTTTTGGTGCAGACCATGCCCCTTGCCGCCCAGCTGAACGAGGCGATCCATAAGGGCGAAATGGTTGTTGGCCTCGGCGTGTGCGACCGCTGTGTACTCCCTGTCGTCCTTGGCGTTCATGTCAGCTCCGAACTCGAGGAGCAGCATCGTGGCGTTCACGTTGCCTCCCGCCGCGGCGAGATGGATGGGGGTGCGCTTCTTGTAGTCGCGGATGTTCACATCCGCGCCCCACTCCAATAGGCGGCAGATCCCGTCCACGTTGTCGTCCCCCACTGCGGTATGGAGGGCGGTCCTTCCCTGGCTGTTGCGAGAGTTAATCTTCACACCGTAGGTGTGCAAGAACTCCATCAAGTCGAACCGCCTTCTGTGGCAACTCATGGGAGCCTCCCATACCATCTTGGCGGCTCTTGCGAATCGACGCTAATCGACGATAGTCGACGCTAATCGACGCTACGTCGACGCTCATCGACGCTAACCGACGTTAAATCGACGCTATCTCATCGACTTCCAGACGCGAAATCGATGCTAATGACGGAATTAAGAGGGTATACCAGGCCCCCATGATTTGCTACCGAAACCGCCTGTTTTTGGTCACAATGTTGAAGGCCGTGTCGCCCTTCGAGGTCTTGGCGGAGAGGTTGGCACCGCGGCGATAGCACAGCTTCGCGAGGCCGAGGTTCCCTGTCTGACACGCGTACTCGAGCAGGGTCTGGTCCGTCTCGACGTCCCGCGCATCGATCTCGGTATTCTCGAGGAGGCGCTCCAGCATGTTCATCAGCACGGTGCCGTTCCGTGTGACGATCTGCTTCAGGTTGAAGGTCTTCAGCTTCTCGCGCGGCGGCTCGAACGCCTGCTTTTGAGGGAAACGTCAACTATCCACGTGACCGATCATGACAGGGCCCATCCTAGGGATAGGATCTGCGTATGCGCCATTCTGGGCCCAATCAGGGAGGCACGCTTGCCGGTCCTAGGTGCAAGTTCGGTATGGCGGATGTCTTGCCTTCCGACGGCTCGACTGGTATTTTCGAGTCTCGGGGCCCCGGACCTCTCGACCACATTCCCTGGGACTGGTCCTTCACCTCGAGCCGTTTTGTTTCTGCCCGGGGGCCCGAAAAGAGCTTTAAGATGCCGAAAACGTCGAACAAATCCGACTCCACATGTTTCTCCCACCGGCGACCACGCAACTGAGACTGTCTGGCCTGCGGTGCATTGGGTCCAACAAGCGGTCAGGCAAACGGCGCGATACATCCGTTGGGAATTTGGGAACAGGGGCGCAGGCGGGCGAGGGGAGCTCAGACAAGCACTCGCGAGGCCCCTGAGCTTGCTCCGTGAAACGTGCAGCTGACGATGCGTGACGCCTCACGCTCGGAAGGTTCGAGCGGGCGTCCCCTGGCCGAGCGCCTGCTTGAGGTCCGCAAAGGGGTCCGAGGGCTGCGTCCTCGCTGGCCGCTGCTGCTGCACCTGCTGCTGGCGCACGAGCGTGGTCTGCGACTGCGCCCCGCCGCGCCTCGGCAGCGAGGAGCTCTGCTCCTGCGGGGAGGTCCCTCGCGCCGACCGCCGTGGCCACTGATTAGCAGGAGGGGGCGTGGGCCCCCGAAGGGCAGGGGGACCCGCGGAGGCCGTTCGCCGCCGCGCCCCCTCGCCCGCGGGCCCTCCCACGGGCCTCGGGGCCGTCCGAGCACGGCTCCAGGCGGAGAGCTGGCCCCGGGAAGCGCCCTGGGGGCTGGGACCCATCTCTTCCCTGAGGACCCCTGGCCTCCATTCGAGGAGCAACAAAAAAAGGGGCAGGAGCATCAGTTCTCTCAGGGCCAGGAGGTAATGTCTGCGCAGTGCTTCGTTCTTCGAGGCCTGGGGCCAGCTTCCCTCACGACCCCTTCCATCTATGGCGATCGACGTTTATCCCCCCCCTCCGCCGCCTCTCGACCACTTGGTGGCAGTGAGAGGGGGCGGGCCTTCTCAAAAGCTCGGAAGGCCTCCAGCCTTCTGGACGTTGTCTAAGCCTTCCCCGAAGACACGAACAACTTCTTAGAAGGCCGGACGGTTTCCGAGAAGCCCCACCGCCTTCTGAGAAGGCAGTCAACTTCTCACTTCCCCCCCTCGCTCGCCGCCGAACTGCAGCCAGGTACTGCCTCCAGAAAGGACGCCCAGAGACGGGAATCCCACCAGCCCTTTGGGCGTGAGTGGTTTAGAGAGCTCTCTCTGTCCTCACCCCCCCTTCTTCCCCTTCGGGAAGGGGTTTACCCCTCCCCCTACCCCCTCCACCTGGACCTGGACAGGGAGTCCGGGGTGGTGGCAGGGGGGTCTTTTCCGACTCCTGGGAGGGCTAAAAAACGACGACCCTCACGAGGATTCTGGCCCCGACGGGGGGGCCGAGTTTGGCCCCTCTGCTCTTCTTTGAAGCCAAGATCATTGATTTTACTACGGTTGTGGCCCCATTTTGGCCTTCTGAGGGGGCCGCGCTCATCTTCCTTCCTAGCAAAATCATTGATTTTACGAAGGTTTTGGGCTAATGTTGTCCTTCTCAGGGGGCAGCGCTCATTTGCGCTTCTGAGGAGGTCGCAAGAGGCCCCAAGATGGCTCCAAGAGGCCCCCAGGAGGCTCCCAAGAGGCCTCCAAGAGGCCCCCAAGAGGCCCCCAAGAGGCCCCAAGAGGCCCCCAAGAGGCCCCCAAGAGGCCCCCAAGAGGCCCCAAGAGCCCCAAGAGGCCCCCAAGAGGGGCCCCCAAGAGGACTCGGAGAGAAGGCCCGAACGACTCACACCACAACGAGGGGCCCGAACGACTCACACCCGGACGAGGCGCCCGAACGACTCACACCACGAGGAGCCCGAACGACTCACACCACGACGCGGGCCCCGAACGACTCACACCACGAGGAGCCCGAACGAGTCACACCAGGAGGAGGGGCCCGAACGACTCACACCAGGATGAGGGGCCCGAACAACTCACACCACGAGAAGCCCGAACGACTCACACCAGGACGAAGAGCCCGAACGACTCACACCACGAAGAGCCCGAACGACTCACACCAGGAAGAAGGGCCCGAACGACTCACACCAGGACGAGAAACCCCAAACGACTCAAATCACGAGGAGCGCTTTCTCTCCCTCCTCCTCCGCCTCGTCCTTCTCCCGCTCCCCCCACAAGGAGGATGTACAAGGAGGCGGGAGGAAGGAGGAACAGGGGAGATATGCGGGGCCAAGCGGACACACGCCTGAAAAACACGACTGTCGGCATGCTTCGCAAGAGTTGCTGCTGTGAGATGGGCTGGTGGGGATACGCGAAGCGTAAAGAATTGGCAGAACTCCCTTTAGCGGGGCACCCCTTGGGGACAGCTCCAAGGGGCACACCGCATGCGCACGGCACGGCACTCCGAGTGGACACTGGCGGACTGGCCAATCAACGTCCAAATACCGAACGCACTCAATACAAAACATGTCGATTGGCGAAGCCGACGGGGGACTGCACCGGCACACTACGAGTGCCAAAGTCGAATGACCCGGTGCAGAACTCTGCAATCGACTTGTCTTGGTGGGCGGCCTCTCAATTTTCAATGCCCGACTGGAGGTCAGCCCGTGCTCCAGACAAGAAAGAGGGCGTGAGAGGCGATAGACAAGAGACATGGGTAACTACCCCTGAGATCCGACATCACGAGAAATGGTAGCGTCGTAAACAGCCCGACGGGAGAGAGCCCTGGACCCCACCTTCTTGCTTCACACTTCGAGCTGGATCGGGGCCCGAAGCAAGGCAACATCGCCCGGAGCGAAACACCTGCGACGCTAGAACCTCAGGATTACGAAGGCAGCCCGTGCTCCAAACACGGAAGAGAGTGCGAGACACGATAGACGGGACGGAATGGGTAATGCGGCCAACCGGTTCGATTATTTTGCTTCGAGCGATCCCCACCGAAGTCTTCGGCGTTTGTTCCCGACGGTGCGCGCGCCCACCGAAGGGATGCGCACAGGGCCAAATGGTCTCGGCCAGCGCGGCAGCCCGGCCAGGTCGCAAGTTCGTTAACACAAAACTGAACTGACAAGAGGTATGGCGACCCCAACCCCCGAACCTCCAAAAAATCACCCTCGTCCTCGTTCTTCTTTTTGTGTTCCTCCTAGTCGCCCCCTCCTTGGCGAGTGAAAGGCGCCACGAACCCGTTGGCGCACGGGGCCTCCTGTCCAGACCCCACTCCATGGAGGTCCCTGGAAGTTTCGCGAGGTCCGTCTGCGGTTTCCAGAAACAGAAACAGGAACAGAAAAATCAAAAGCTTCTCGATAGTCGATCCGTGGACGTCGGTGCTTACTCCTACTTTTCATCCTCCCGTCTCCCTCCTTCGGCCATAGGGGAGGGCCTTCCCGGCCTTGAAGCCCTCCGAAAAATAGGGAAGCCTGGGATATATCCCCCCAGGGCCTGGGAAACACAAGTTTTGAGTAAATTTTGACGCATCCCTCTCGAGGACCGGCGCACGCCCCAAGTATATCACAGGCTTTGGGGCCCAAGAAAAATGTAGTAAATTAACCTGTTTGCTTGCATGTTTCCCCCCCCGCCCCGGGAGTTGTTGCCCAACCCCATCAGCCACAGAGCTGGTGTCCGCACGTGCAAGAGGGGCGAGCAGTGGCAGCGGGCGCTGGTGCTGCCCGGTATGGAGTGCGAGATTCGGGGTTGGAATCCGACGTCATCGGCTGCAACGCTGGAATCAGCGGTCGCGGAATAGTGGGAGTGGGCCTAGGCGCTGAAGACAATATCCAAAGACGCACCGACGGGGGCAAAGGGCAGCCAGGGTAAGGGTGGCCTGAAAATTTCGAAGGCGGGTGAGGCAAAAGGAAATGCGGAGGAGAAGTACAGGAAGAAAGAACGGTCGGTCACAAGGAGGTGGGCTCTTCCCACGCTTCACCATTCTACCACAAGTTACCCACATCATTCTTTTTTCCCGTCCTCCTTGCCCGCCCCCCGCTCCTGCGCCCGCGCCATATTCGGCGTCCTCCTGCCCTCCTGCCCCACCTCCTCCCGTTCTCTTGTTGACCGTCGAAAATCCCCTTCATCCGCAAAGTCGGGAGCTGGGGGCGAGAAATCGCATATGATTCACAGCCACAGGTTGCCGCAGGAGGGAAGCCCCTGACGACAGAAACCGAAACAAGCAGTGGGGAGAAAAAACAAGCCCCGAAACGCTTGGTGTGAGCGTGGCACCAGAACTTCTTTGCAGAGAGTATACAACCTGCTGAAAGAGGACGAGGAGGAGGAGGAGGAGGAAGATCAGGAGGATGAGGCAATATACTGTTCGCTTGCACCCTGTCCCACAATAGAAAATGACAGTATGTGTTCTTATATCCTGTTCTGGACGGGCCAACATGACGTCGTGACGCCTGCCACGTTAGATGCGTCGTCTGGCCAGTCGTTGCTGCGTCTGTTTGTTCTTGTGGCCAGCCTGACCTCGGCGCGCACGTGGCGTTCAAGTATATAATGGTACGGCAGATTATGTTATGTTCGTTTGATGAGGCGCCGTGAACTGGTATGTTCCATGTCGCAATGTTCGGTTATGTTATGGTATAGTATGTCCTGTTCTGTCCGCGAGGGGCCAGCGTGGCGTCGTGACGCCTGCCACGTTAGATACGCCGTTCAATTGGTCGTTGCTGCGCCTGTTACTTCCTGTGGACAGCCTGACCCTGGCGCGCACGTCGCCCTTGATTACGGTGTAGCACGGTATATGATGTTATGCTATTCCTCGTGATCTATGCGTTCCCTTCTTTTGAAGTATGCTGCGTATATGCTCACCTCTGTCACAACCTGCTGTGGTATACAGTATGTGATGCTCTACTCTGTGGCACAGCGCTATGGTGTGAGATGTTATGTCAGGTTGTGAGATACGATGCTCTGCTCGTTGGTATTGTCGACGAGGTGCTTGGTTCAGTATCGTAGATTCCAACTTCTCTCTATGTTATGATAATTGCTGCTCTGTCGCGATAGTAATATGAAACGCTGCCGTTGCTAGATTGAAGTGCATTCAACTGTATTCCTTGTAGTAATGGTTAGTATCGGTATGCTTTTTGATGCTCTATTATGTCATGTCCTATCTCCTCGGGCCAGGGTGACGCCGTGACGCATGTCACATCCGGTGCATCGTTCAATCGGTCGGTGCTGCGCCTGTTGGTTCCTGTGGCCAGCCTGGCCTTGGCGCACACGTCACTGGTGATTATAGGGTAGTGCGATCTATTATGTTATGATGTTCCTCTTCACGTATGTTTCTACCATATTACAATACGCTCTGTGATGCTCACCTGTGCCACACCATGAGTTGATATGTTATGTTACGCGCTGCTCTGTAGCACTATGCTGTGGCATGCTATGTTGTGTCAAATTTGATTAGATGTGCTCGGTTCAGTGGTACTGGTGACGTGGTGCTCAATTGAGTACAGCATATGGGGGTTTACTCTGTCATGGCATACCACTTCACTGACGTATACCAAACTCGTTGCCGTGGTGGTAGCAACATGCGTCCCTTTGTGTTATGCTATGCTGGTTACTCTATGCTCGATGATGTAATGTCCCGTTCTTGCATGAATTTCTTCTGCGACATGCTACACCCTAGATACCAACAGCAAAAACATGTACAGTGTTATGGTATGGCGTGTAATGGTGTACCCTACGATGGTATGTTATGTCATGGTATGCGGTGTTTTGTTACGTGATGCCCGATGCTGCGCTCTGCCATGCTATGTTCTGTCATGACACGTTATTGGATGATCTGATATGCGGTGCAATGGCCTGCGGTTTACACTATGCGTTACCGCGCTCTGTCATGGCATTGTGTCATGGTGTGGAATGAGTTGTGCTGTGATGTATGCTATGCGATGCCCTGGTCTGTCATGCAATGGAACGGTATGCTACGTTCTGATACGGTTGGTTGATTATGACATGCTATGGTATGATGGGTGGCGGTATGCTATGCTATGTATGCTACGCTCTGTCATTGCATGCGTTGTGATGCCGTCTTCTCGTATGTTATGGTATGCCACGCAGTGGTGTGGTATGCGATGTTATGTTATGGTATTGTACTGTAGGCTGGTATGATGTCTGACATGGTATGGTATGTTACGTGGCGGTATGTCATGCTATGGTTTGTCACACCATGCAGTGATGCGGTATGGTACAGTGTGCCAGGATATGATATGGTATGATATGGTATGGTGTGTTATGACAAGTTATGCTGTGCCATGCTATGACATGGGGTAGTAGGTTGTGGGGTGTTCTAGTCTGTTAGTTATGCTCCGCTTTGCCGTTGCATGCGTTGCTGCCCAGAGCTATGATATGTTGTGTCCTGTCACATGGTGATTCAATATGCAACGGCACGGGAATACGAAATGTTATGTAGTGGCTAATTGATACTATGCTGTCATGGTATGAACTGCCACAATCTGGGATGATATGGAATGCGATGATGCGTAACGCTATGACGTGTTATGGTATGTTATGGTATGCTATGACATCTATGGTATGTAATGGTTAGTTTAAGTGATGGTATGTCATGCCGTGATGTGTGGTGTCATGCTCAGTTATGTCAGGTTCTGTCGCATACTCGGCGACGGGGCGAGGTGGGAGTCTCGGTGGATTCTCGGTGGACCTGGGGAACTGCCAGCCGCGCTATGCAGGGTGGGCGGGCCGGGAGGTCTATCCTTAAAACCTAACGACCCCACTCTGCCAGGTGGGGGAAACAAATTGGTGGTCTGGACCCCCTCCTCAGGACCAGCTTTTCAGCCCGAGCATGTTTGTCGGACGGCCCCGGGGCCTGGCGAGGGCTGCTCGAGACCGAAAATAGGCAAAAAGCTCCCGCCATGATTTCCTCGCAGCGAAAGGATGTCAGTAGGTGGCGACATCCGAACCCCACCCCCACCAACCATCGAGTCTCCAGAATCGATGGGAGTCGGGGGTAGGGTTCAGAATTCGCCACATGGTCGACGAACTCCAAACCCCACCCCCGCCGCTCATCGAGTTGCCTGAATCGTTGATCAGCGAGAGTAGGGTTCGGATGTCGGCGCCAGTTCCCAGCTAGAGGATGTCAGGGCACAGAGCCAGGAAGGTCGCAACGACGCTGGCGGATGCATCGATTTGGTCGCTCGGCTCCTCCGCCGCAACGGGGAGCACCGCCGCGCTCTTGGACTCGCCCATGCCGCCCTGGCGCGCCTCCCCTTCGAGAAGCGGGATGAAAGCGAAGTTCGCGGTCACGGGCCGCGCCGTGTCCTTTAGGAGGCATCTAATGGGAGGACTTGGTGGGATCGTCACAAGCCATTGCAAAGGCCCGGTCAGAGCCGAATTATACCAAATGAAGCCCAGAATTCAGCATGGCTGCAAAGATTGAGCCGGATTAGGCTGGCCTTCGTCCACGGATATCTATACAAATGCAAGTGCTGCATTTGACCTCCGGTGATTGCAATCGTGTCCTGATTCGGGTCGCCGTCGGCGCCGAGGAGCAGGATCTTCATGAGGGCGTTCTCCATTTTCCGGACGGTTACCTGGCGGGCAACACAGCGAAGAAGCCCAGCGTCGGAAAGAGGTGGCGAGAGGTGTGGTGTGGTGGCCCAGGCGTTGTGTCGGACAATCGAGCACGCCACCACACCGAGCCCAGGCCACCAGCTGTGCCCCCCCAAAACCGTCCGCCGCCGCCCCGCCGCGCCCAGAATCTGCCCCCGCGTAGCGCGCAGCGTGTAGATTGGCGCCAACAAGTGCGGATAACAGTGCAAGGCCCCAAGATGCCTCGGGTCCACGACCCGAGCACGGTGGCGGCGGAATGGGCCCAAGGACGCCGCATAGACGCAGCGCCACCCTGCATCCCCAATCGACCACACACACAGTGACAGCAAAGAACGCTTGCACACCTCATTCTAATACTTCATTGCGCTCGTTCAAGAAGAAAACCACTGCATAAACATAAGCTCGCGGAATCCGCGCAGATTTCTCGGATCGGCGCTGGATCCCAGTCCCTGGCGCGCGGAACGCGCCAGCGGCGGCGCCAGAAGCGCCGCCAGGGGGAGCCCAGCGCCAATCGAAGAAATCGACACGGAGCTCCGAAAGTTTAAGTGTACGCTGTATTTTCTTCTAGGATATGCACACCTCCCTTTCCTGCGGGGGTCGGTCGAAGTTCCGCTCGCCAAACCTTGTCCATCACCTGGAACGCGACCTCGTCCGGGGAGGTGTCTCGCACCTGCGGATGCGAGGTGTCGTGCAGGAAGCGCCACAGCGCCCGCATCACCTCGAGAAACGACGACGTGAAAGGAGTGACGTCGCAAAACAATCGCGACAGATGCTCCCAGTCTGGACGCATCGGGAACCCACGCCATATTTTCACGATGGATTTCTGGGGCCGGATCGATCCGCGAAGGGGCTCTCGGCCCTGTACAGGGCAGCCCGTCGTTCCAGACATCTGGCGCTTCGAGTGGTTCGATGCGTGGGCCCCCTGGAACTCTCGACCCCTCCCTCAAGGCTGGATGTTCCTCCCAAGCCCTGGTTCGGGGACGCACTGACCCAGGTCAGTGCAAACCTGGGTCACTTAGGCTTTGCAGGATCCTGAAACACCCTGCAGGATCCAGCAGGATCCTGCGCGCAAGCCAGGGTCAATGCAACCCGGGCTCTGCAGGATCCTGAGAGATCCAGCGCTCTGGCTGACACCCGTTTGCATGGACCCCCGTCTCAAGGCTCCCGGCTGGTTTGGCTAGGCCCGAGCCCGGCTTCCATGGCGACAAGCCGGCCGTCTCGATTACTTCGAGAGCCGAAACATGTTTTCTATATGTTTGTGTTTGTTTTTACGACACCCAACTCTGAGGGCACCTGCGCGATGAGCTCGGCCCCTTTGGACGGCAGGGTGCCCGGCCCGCGGCTGAGCGCCATCTTGACCTGCTTGCGGGAGAGAGCGAGGGAGGAGGGAGCAAAAAGGGAGGAGGAAGGAGGAGGAAATGGAATGGCATGGCTTTTCTGTGAGGCGGGGAGTTGTCCATATCCATCGCCCGGGGAGGCGACGTCCTGGGATCCCAAGGGGCAGCTCATTTTTTTAGTTGAGCCCCCGGAACCCGAACACCTGTATATATATATATACATTTATATGTTGTACAACTATATACATACAATTAGACATCGCTGCATCTCTATATGTGCCTGCATGCTTATACATTTATGAATGTGTATATATACATGCATGTATGCGTGTGTGTGTATATAAACACACATATATATATATATATATATATATGTGTGTGTGTGTCCACATCCACCGCCTGCCGAGGCCCCGAAGCCCGATCCCCCAGGCGGTGGTTATGGATAGATCCTCGCCTCAGGCAGTGACCCCTAGAACACAAAAAAATACGGTCAGTACCTCTCCATGTCTTCTACATCCCTCGTCGATAAGACGCTCGGATCGCGATCTGCGTGGGCGAGGGTGGTCACCCTCAGGCCGCTCACGCGCATCACTGGGATGGAGGAGCAGGCATAAGACGAAGCCAGGACGAAGATAAACTCGGGCGAGGAAAAATCGGGAATCTCTGAGATGCGGCGGCTCTGGAGGATGTCTCGGGTGCCGCGGCCTTCACAGAGCGTTCTGAAACGCTCTGAGAGCGCTCCGGAACGTTCTGGAACGAATTTATCCTCGTCCTAGCCGGCGCCCGACCCACGTCGGCGCTGCTGGGGCCGCCCCTGGCGCGCTCCGCGCGCCAGGGAATTATGGGGGAGCGCCAACTCAAGAAGTCTGCGCGATCCTCCCACAAGCTCATTACGTATGTGTGTATATAAATATATACTCCTTCTTAGAAGGGAGGGGGGGAGTAGGGAACACATAACGAACGATGGCATCGAGGCTGGTGACGCCCCATGGACCTCACCTGGCGCTCCGACCAAAATTTCGAGGCGAATGAAGCCGTGTCCACGAGGACACGCCTGACGGCCCAAAACCGCCTAGCAATGTACCAAGCAACCTTGACCCCGGGCCGCATTCTCACCCTGATGAATTGTTGACGACCCCAGGACCCCAAACGGGACACTGGAGGCCGATGTCGATGAAAAACAGCGTCTCGATTGCCAACAACAACGACGACGACGACGACGACGACGGTCGGGTGCGCGCAAGAGGGACCATGGAGAGGGGGGGGCGCATCATGATACGAAGCATGCGCGCGGATCCAGAGGGGGGCTAGCGGATGTGTTGAGGAAAGAACAGGGGGCCATGAACCCTCGGCGATATCATGCCCTGGCCATGATACACCCCCCTGGTCATCACGCCCATCTCCTACGCCCCCGAACAACGGCGGATGCAACCTCCTATCTCGATTCCGGCGACGACGACGACGACGACGGCAGAGTTAGCATGAATCAAACGAGTCCTGAGGGAAACGGGTCCTTGACTCCAGGGCCTCCCTCCAGGACGAGCTTCTCGTTCTGAATCGTTTCCAAGCGACCTTGGGGCCCGTGGAAAGCTCAAGGATGCCAAAAACAGGGAAAACCGGAGCAACTGTTTCCAACGGAACCCTTTTTACCTCGAGGCCTCGCAAATGGGGCTCCACATCGAGCCGCATCGCCGATGCATTGGCGATGAGGCGGGATTGTTCGACCCCACTTACTCCGACCCCACCTCGAAGCCTGGAGCTCAGGGAGGACAACAGAAGCACCTCAGGTCAAATTTCCCATAGGACTCCTTTTACTTCGCGGCGACGGAGGCGACCTGCTTGAGCAGCCCCTCGGGGATGGGAGCGACCACGGCGGCGACAAGGCCCTCGTTGCCCTGCAGGTCCAGCAGGTCCAGGGGCGTCAGCTTCTTCGTGTGCTGCCGCTCCTCGCGGCAGCTCGCAGCCGAACCGTGCGAGAAGAAATCGCGATGCAAACGTTGGGGGGAGCGGAATATACCGTCGCCTGACTGGACAAAACTGCCCCCCCCCCCTCCGAGAAACCGGGGTGGGGGCCGCTCCCCCTTCCCCAAGAACCAAGGGGGGGGAAAGAGGGGACCACATGCTGGACCAATGCCAACAATCAACTGGTACCAATTAAAACCAACCATCTTGAGGCGACACCGGGACTCGATGCGCACAGCATTTTACATCGTCTGAAGAGTAACTACTCATCTGGGGAAAAACATGGGTGTCCGGGTAGGAATTTGTAAGAGTTTACTTTCAGACATCTGGGAGCTGTGTTGTGTTGACACTGAACACTGCTCAGCACTTGTGCTGGAGCCTTACGGTTAGCATATGAGAACCTGTCTGCTTTTGTACGACGGTTGCGTTAATCTTCGCGTTACCTGTTTTTCATATGAACACAGCGGGCATTCCATCAGCGAACAACACAATACTCGATAAGAAGTGCGGACATACGTTAACAAGCACACACACACACCTCCCAATGAAGAAACCCACCACGCACGTATGAATAATTCGAATGTCACGTGGAACCAAACATCATGCTAAGAGTTCGTTCGTGTTTAAAGATGTCGCCGCGCCGTTTGTTTTCGACGGGCCCAAATGGGCGACGATGGCACCGCGGCAAACCCACGGCAAACCCTGCGTCCCACGCCACAGCAGACGACGCCGGCGCAGCGGCAAACACCGTGGGAAACCCACCACGCACGAGGCGGCGCTTGCCCTGGTGCCCGCGGCGCCCCCCCCCAAGACACAAGGCCGCGCGTCGGAACAAACGGCGCGGCGACAAATGTAAGTGTAATAAGAGACACGCGAACCCCAGCCTCCCGCAGAATTTAAGACCCCGCGCGATGTTCACGTAGAGCGTGCTAGGAAATGCGCCGAGCACAGCCTTCCGCCGATGTATTAAGTCTTCGATGTGCTTCCAACGCGACTTCGATTGGACATGCGTTGACCAAAGCATCCCGCTGAGTGCTTTTGCAATACATGCGTTCGTAACAACGTGCACTCCATAAGAGAGCGGGGGCCGAATGCTCCGGCGGCGGCGGGAAGGGTATCGGGAGCGGAACGACTCGGCGGCGGCGGCGGAGGGCAAGGCGATTCGTTCGGCCATCCACTCCTTTCACACGGGTTCGGGACCCCCCAGGGGCCCCCGAGAGCACGAAACACTTCAATTGGAAGCGTCGCCTTCGGGGGTTTAGGGAATCCCGCGCCTGCGAGAAAGAGGTCGGGGGCCGAGCGATCCGGCAGCGGAGGCGGACCCGTCCTGCCCCCCTTTCCCACCCCATGGGTTCGGGCCCCCCCCGAGCTTCCAATGGCACGAAACGTTTCCATTGAAACCCTCGGGGGTTCGGGAAAACCGTGCCAGGAGGAAGGGGCGGGGGGGGGAGGGGCGAACGGCTCGGTGGCGGATCGGAAAGCAAGGTGGCTCGTTCGGCCTGCCTGTCCCTCCCATGGGTTCGGGGGCCCCCCGAAACCCCGAGGGCGCGAAACGCTTCCAATGGAAGCGTTGTTCTCAAGGCCCGGAGAACCCCGCGCCCGCAGGAAAGGAAGTGGGGGTCGAACGACTCGGCGACAGCGGCGGAGGGCAAGGTTACTCGGTCGGCCCGCCCTCACCCCCATGGACCCGGGCCCCCCCAAAACCCTCGAGGGCACGAAACGCTTCCATTGGAAACGTCGCCCTCGCGGGCTCGGAGAGACCCGCGCCTGCGGGAAAGAGAACGGAGGCCGAACGACTCGGCGGCGGCAACGGGGGGCAAAGTGACCCGTTCGTCCTCTTGCTCCTTCTCCTCCTCCTCCTCCTCCTCAACCTCCACCTCCCCCTCCACCTCCTCCTCCTCCGCCTCCTCTTCTCCGCCTCCGCCTCGCATCCTCCGCCCCCACCTCCGCCTCCGCCTCCGCCTCCTCCTCCGCCTCCGTCTCAGCCTCCTCCTCCTCCTCCGCCTCCGCCTCCTCCTCATTCTCTTTCTCCTCCTCCTCCACCTCTTCCTCCGCATCCGCCTCCTCCGCAACCACCTCCTCCTCCTCCTCCGCCTCCTCCTCCTACTCCTCTTCTTCCTCATCAGCAACAGCATCAGCATTCGCGTCATCAAAGCATTGATCCTCGCCGTCGTCATCCTCATCATCCTCATCATCCTCATCCTCATCCTCATCCTCATCCTCATCCTCATCCTCATCCTCATCCTCATCCTCATCCTCATCCTCATCCTCATCCTCATCCTCATCCTCATCCTCATCCTCATCCTCATCCTCATCCTCATCTCATCCTCATCCTCATCCTCATCCTCATCTCATCTCATCTCATCATCATCATCACCACCACCACCACCACCACCACCACCACCACCACCACCACCACCACCACCATCCATCATCACATCATCATCATCATCATCATCATCATCATCATCATCATCATCATCATCATCATCATCATCATCATCATCATCATCATCTCATCCTCATCCTCATCCTCATCATCATCATCATCATCATCATCATCATCATCATCATCATAATCATAATAATCATCATCATCATCATCATCATCATCATCATCCATCCTCATCCTCATCCTCATCATCATCATCATCATAATCATAGTCATCATCATCATCATCATCATGATCATGATCATCATCATCATCAGCATCAACATCATCAGGATCATCATCAGCAGAATCATAATCATCGCCATCAGCATCATCACCATAACCATCAACATCACCAGCATCATCATCAGCATCAGCATGGTCAGCATCAGCATCATCATCATCAGCAGCATCATCATCAGCAGTATCATCATCATCGCATTCATCAGCAGCAGCAGCAGCAGCTGCACCTTCATTAGCAGCATCATCACCATCAGCATCAGCAGCATCATCAGCATCATCAGCAGCATCAGCATCGTAATCACCAGCAGCAGGAGCATCATCAGCAGCAGCATCAGCATCAGCATCATGATCGTCAGCATCATCATCATCATCATCATCATCATCATCATCATAAGCAGCATCATCGTCATCATGATCATCACCTTTATCAGTAACATCAGCAGCAGGAGCACTATCTGCATCAGCATCAGCGTAAGTATCATCATCATCATCAGCATCATCATCAGCATCATCATCATCCCTCTCCTCTTCCTACTAGGCCTATTGATGTCACTCCCCCTTCAATTTCACAGTCCTCCTCCTCAGGAATCCATCAAGAACCCATCAGGAACCAATCAAGAATCCTCAATAATCTATCAGGAACCCTCGGGAATCCTCAAGAATCCATCAGGAAGCCATGAAAAATCAATCAAGAATCCATCAAGAATTCATTAGGAATCCATGAGGACACCATCAAGAATCCTCAGACATTGCTGGGGAATCCTCAGGAATCGCGAAGAACCACAAAGTGTGAGAGCTCTGTGTGCGTTTAGTGTGCGCCTTGTTCGAGCTTAGTTTGAGCTTTGCGTGAGCTTTGCGTGAGCTTCGCGTGAGCTTTTCGCTAGCTTTGCGCGAGCTTGGTTTGAGCTGTGGTTGAGCTTCGTAGGAGAGCTGTGTGCCCTTTCTCTGAGCTGTGGTTGAGCGTTGTTTATGTTCTGGTTAGCGCTGGTGGTGCTTTGATTGAGGTTTGTTGGAGCTTTGGTTGAGCTGTGTGTGCGAGGTTTGGTGCATCTTTGTTTGAGCGTTGGTTGGGGCTGTGGTTGAACTGTGCGTGCGCTGTGGTTGAGCTTTTGTGTGAGATATAGTTGAGCGTTAGTTGAGCTTGCTTGATATGTGTTTGAGCTGTGTGTGGGCGTTGTTTGAGTTGTGTTGGAGCTGTGTTGGAGCTGTGTTGGAGCTTGGTGTGAGCTTTGCTTAAGCGTTCCTTGAGCTTTGCTTGAGCTTCGCTTGAGCTTTGTTTGCGGCTTGTTTGACCTTGGTCGAGCTGTGTGTGAACTTCGGTTGAGCTTTATTAGAGCTGTGCTGAAGATGTGTGTGTGTGTGTGCTTTGGTTGAGCTTAGTTTGAGCGTTGCTGGCCTCATCAGGAAATTACATATTGTGACACATACGATGCTCCTTATTGCGCGCGCTCTCACATGCACAATGCGAGACGAGTAAAGAATGATCATCTTACCTTCGAAAGCTGAATGGTAAAAGCCACCTGTTTTTCTCGAATTCTGGGGGCCCCAACGTTGAGAAATGCATGGCGACACTCTGCAAATGCCTCATTGCACGCGAGCGCGCGTGCAATACAAAAAAAACAAGAATGGCAATCCTGACTTCGAAAACTCATGTGTGGAACCCATGTGTTTCCACTCGTTTCCACACCGCGCACGTTCCCGGTTGCTCGTGCGCGCGCGTGTTCCCGCGGGCGCAATCTTAAACCAGAAACCTGAATGGTGAACACCACATGTTTCACTTGTGTTCTGATGGCCTCAACGTGAAATAATGTATTGCGACACTGTGCATGCTCCTCATTGCCCGCGCGTGCGTGTATGCGCGCGTGCGCTCGCTCTCGCGTGCGCAATGCAAACACATGCAATAATGGGCACAACAATTGCTTCACTCGTGTTCTGAAGTCCCCGACGTTGAATAATACAGTGTGGGACTGCGCGCTGCCCTCATTGCCCACGCGCGCAAAACAAGAAACCCGTGAAAGAATGGCCATCGTAAATTCGAAAACTGAATGGTGGAAACTACGCGTTTCACTCTTATTCTGCGGGCCGCCACGACGAATGCTGCACCGTGGCACCGCGTATTTCCCTCATCGGCAATTGCGCACGTGAGGACGTGCGCAAACGCGCGTACGTACGCAAACGGGTAATGAGGACAATGCGACGTGCCACAATCCACTATTCCACGTAGGGGCCCTCAGATTACGAATGACACAAATGGCATACATCAGTATCGAAATTAAGATGGCCGTTTTTATGTATTGGTTGTATTGCGCACGCGGGAGCGAACGCACGCGCGTACGCGCGCGCGCTGGCAATGAGGACAGCGCAGTGTCACAATACAGCATCCCACGTTGAGGCCCTCAGAAGGCAACTGATCCAACAGATGCTCACGGTTCCATAATCGAAATTGCGATGGCAATTATGTTATTGTTTGTGTGTTGTGCACGCGGGAGCGAGCGCACAAGGCGCGGATGCACGGGCTCGGGCAATAAGAAAAATGTGCAATGTCACAATACATGGTCCCACGCTGAGGCCTTCAAACTGCACGTGAAGCACGTGCTGTTTCACCATTCGATCTTCGAAGTTGTGATGGCCATTCTGTCTTGGTTCCATTGCGCGCACGCAAGAGCAATAAGACAAATGCAAGATGTCACACAATACTATTCCACGTTGAAGCCTAAACGGTCAATTTGCATCGGTGCTTGTGTTGCGCCCGCGGGAGCGCGCGCAAGAACGCGCACGAACAATACGAACAACGCATGGTTTCACAACACAATGTTTCACGCTGGGGCTTTCAGAATTCGGAGAAGAACCCGCCTTCCGCCCGTGAAACCCTCGCAATTTCAAAAAACAATGTGCGCGTCGCTGAGCAGAGAGCCACATTCTGAAAAGAACCCAACCTCAATGTGAGAAACTGTTGCAAACTGTTACACGAATGTGCGCGGCACTAACCGGATAACCGCATTCTGAGAAAAAAACAAAAAAACGCCCTCCACCCAGGAAACCCTGGTCAACTTTCAAAACGAATGTGCGCGAAGCGATGATCACATTTTTCAAAATACCCACCCTCCATCCGCGAATCTCTTGCACATGCCTACGATGAATGTGCGCGGCCCCAAGGCGAGAACTATATTCCGCGAGCGACCCACCCTCCATGTCTGAAGCTGCTGCAAGTGTGAAAATGAAAAAGCACGACGGTAAAACGACAACCACATTGTGAAACGGTCTCGCCCTCAATCCGTGAACCTCTTGCAAACTTTGAACCTTAAACATTGCAAGAGGTTCACGGATGGAGGGCGAAACCGTTTCAAAATGTGGTTGAGACGACTGATCGCGGCGCTGAGGCGAGAACCTCATTTTGAAAAGAAACAACCCTCCATCCGTGAAGCTCGGGCCAACTTGTAAAACACATGAGCGCGGCGATAAAACGTTAACCACAACGCGAAGGCGACAACCGCAATCGTAAAACAATCCGCCCTCCATACGTGAAGCCGCTGCATTTTTTGAAACGAATGTGCGCAAAACTAAAACGATAACCGCAATATAAAAAGATCCGCCCTCCATCCGTGAACCTCTTGCAATCTGTGAAGACGAATGTGCGCGGTGCTGAGGCGAGAACCACCTTTTAAAAGGACCCGCCCTCCATCCGTGAAGTTCTTGCAAACTTTGAAGACGAATGATGCGCGACGCTAGAGCGATGACCACACTCTGAAAAGGACCCGCCCGCCATCCGTAAAACTCTTGCAAACATTGGAAAATAATGTTCGCTGGAAGAGGGGATAATCACTTCCAGGGGCGGTAGTGAAATATTTACATGTTCGCCAGAAGGGGGGGCGGTCGGCAATTGCTTCGCAAGATTACGCTGTCACAATTGGAGTTGGGATGATATCGAATTTCAGTGGCCGGGGCGTTGGTGGTGGAGCCAGTGAGCAAAAACAATCTGGACTATCAAACTATGAAACCCAACTCCCGAACCACTATGTCGTAATGCCAACCGGCATGTTAGCGTCGGACGAAGCTCCTGTGTGGACCCCTTGCATGACCGGCCAACCAACATGCAAACTGTAGAGCACGATCTGGTGATTAGGCCTTCTTGAGAAGTAGCCGCGGAAGCAGACAGCAACGACCTCAATCGCACTAACTACGAGTCGTTTATTCCAAATGATCCGAACGATGAGGACAGTTGGCTCCCCCGACATCCATGACAGCTGTCATGAAGTAGCCGACGGACCGCAGGGAGAAGAGGTTGTCGGCGAGGGATATGAACGAGAGGCTCGGCGCGGTGGTGATGAGCTGGCAGATGTCGGAGCAGGAGTCCATGGTCAGGAGGTTCTGCGACAAGTCCAGGGTCTGGAGCGAGGGGCAATCCTTGCGGGGACACTCCCCCTCGGCGTCCCCCTCTCCGCCGTCCTCCTCATAGCTCCTTCCACGCAGACCTCTCAGGGTGCGGTTCCTGACTGGCGTTGCACACGAAAGACAACCGTTGGGGACGAGGGCGCTCTTTTTGGTCACAACAGGCCGGAAAGCGTCCCAACCTCGGTGTCTGATCCTCGAGCCCCCTCCCTCATCCTTCCTCCTTCCTCCGCCTTCTCGTCCTCCTACTCCTCCTCCTACTCCTCCTCCTCCGCCTCCTCTCCCCCGTGCCAATGATGCTCGATACTCCTCTGGGGAGTCGGCTGGGGACGCACAGGGCGCCACTAAGGGTATCGGATGCCACGCACGACGAGCACCCCAGCCGAGCCCCCAGTGGAGTGAGCAGCGGGGCGACAGTGGAAAGGGGCCAGCCAGTGTGCTGGCCTCCAGGACCATGCCCGGTGACAATGCCAGCGGTCCTGCTTTCATCCCACACCTGCACACCTGAGGTACCGACATCCAGGACAAAGCCCGGCGGCAACGCTGGCGGTCCTGTCTACCCCCCGCACGTGACCTCACATTCAGGTCACAACCTGGTGACTAGGCCGGAGGGCCCGAGCATATACCCCATTCACGAGGCATCGACCTCCAGGACAGCGACCCGTTTGCAATGCCGGCGGTCCTGTGCATCCCCTCCACACTCGCAAACCTGAGGTGCTAACCTCTGCCCAGACGAGGTACGGCCCTACTGCGCCGCCACTGTGCCTCCACGAGGCTCGTTGGTGAGGCGGGAGCTGGGATGCCCACCTTTGACGATGAACACACGCTGGCACCCGTGTATACTGCCTTGTAAAATCCGTCGACCCTGTCGGCGTGTGTGACTTGTCTGTTCGAGTCATCGTCTCCGTCAGTCTTCGACTCCGTCGTCCCCGTTCCACGCACACTCCACCTCAAGCCTGTCAGCCCGAGAAAATCCATCAATATCGTAATCGAGTCGAAGGGACCCCCCTTCCCTTTGATCCCTCCCCCGTCGGGGGGGGGTCCTGGGGGGTAGGGGTGGGGGTCCCAGGGGGGGGGGGTCTGGCAATGGGGGGTTCAGATACGCATCCCTTCCTGGGGTCCCGGGGCCTTCGACAGTACCAAGACAGGCCAAGAGTGCCCCAAGAGGCCCCCACGACAGTCCAAGAGGGCCCCCAATCGCCAAACAATCAGTCCCAAACTCCTGCAGCACGCCTTCCACTGCCCAGGAGGTCGTCAAGACATCCCAAAAGGCCTTCAAGAGCACTCCCGAGAAGGCCTCAACGAGGCAAAATTCTTTGATTCCCATTTGATGGTTCAAGATTTGGGGCTTCTCGCCTTTTCCGTTACCCGCCGCTCCAAGACGGCCCAAAAAGGCCCCCGAGATCGCCCCAAGAGGGCCCAAGAGGCCTCCAAGAGGGCCCCCACACATCCCAATAGGACCCCAAGTCACCCCACTGCGCCTCCAAGACGGCCCAAGAGGTCCCCAAAATGGTTCTCAAAGCGTGCCTTGATTGGGGACCCGAACGGACATTTCGAGCCCTCAGCCCCGAGAGGCTCCAAGGCGACCCCAAGAGGTCCCCAAGAGGCACCAAGAGGCCCACGGGAGGCTCCCAGGAAGCCCGAAGAGGCCGCAAGAGGCTCACAATAGGCCCCAGAATTTCTCCCCAGAGGCCCCCGAAAGCCTTCCGGAGAGGCCCCAGGAAACATCCCCCTGGCCCACGTCAGCGTCGTCGTCGCCGCCGCCGCCGTCGTCGTCGTCGCCGTCCCCCTTCAGGATCGGCGGCACTGGCCGTAAGGCCTTCGCAATACGTTCGCCATGGCGCGGCGCCCTACAGAGCGCAAAGTCTGTAGGCTTACCCTGGGACCCTACGAGGCTCCCGCCCCCTACAGAATCCAGGTCTGAGTCCATTAATTCACCATGCCGCCCTACAGAGCACAAACTCTGTGATGCGTACCCTGCGATTCTATCTTCCGAGTCCGGGGTGTACGCCCTCCTCGCCGATGGCGCGAGCGAACGGACGGAGACCACCTCCACTGGAACGCACACGAACCCCGTGCCACGGCTGCTCGATAGCCATGACAAACCCTTCTCGCCCCTGCCCCTGCCTGCTGTTGGGCCCCTAACTCGTCCTTCTTTGTCAAGCCTCCCTGTCCCAGTCGTCTGTGCGCCCAACTCCTCTGGACGTAATGCGCCAGTCAGGGTATCGGATGCCACACCCGACGAGCACCCCAGCCGAGCCCCCAGTGGAGTGCGCAGCGGGGCGACAGTGGAAAGGGGCCAGCCAGTGTGCTTCTAGAACACTACCCAGCGGCAATGCCAGCGGTCCTGCTTTCATCCCACACCTGCACACCTGAGGCACCGACATCCAGGACAAAGCCCGGCGGCAACGCTGGCGGTCCTGTCTACCCTCAACGCGTGCGCGCAAGAGGCACTCACGTTCAAGTCACAACCTGGTGACTAGGTAGGCGGGCCTGAACATATACCCCATTATCGAGTCATCGGCCTCCAGGACACAGACCAGCGGTAATGCTGGCGGTCGGCGGTCCTGTGCACTCTCCACACGCGCACACATGAGGTAACGGACCCCTTTGCAATGCCAGCGGTCCTGCCTCCACTTGCCCAGAAGAGGTACGGCCCCACTGCACCGCCACCGTGTCTCCACGAGGCTCGCCACGTGTCTCCGGGAGCTGGAATGCCCAGTTCTGTCGACGAACAGGCGTTAGCATCCGTATAGTCCGCAACTTGTTTTTTTCAAGAAGTTTAGCTACTGCCTCACCATAGCCCGCGCATTTATCACGATACGAAAACATTATCTACAGTGGTGCCACTATTTTATTCTGGCGGCACTATCTACAGTCGTGCCACGATGCACCGCAGAGCAAACACACCAGAGGATTTATTAACAAAGGGTGTGCCGCACACCAGAGGATTTATCGATCCAGTGCGCGCCGCACACCAGATAATTTTGTATGTGGGGGCATCCAGGGTGGTGACACCAGGGAACTGGGCCCACTAACGGAGTTAAGGCGCCCACAACCACATTACATCAAATCGTCCTCCTCCTCCTCCTCCTCCTCCTCCTCCCGTGGACTAGCAGGTGCGGGCATTGGTACTTCAAGGGATTCCCTCTATCCCTACCCCTCCATCTCCTCTTCCTCTCAATCAAGACGAGTGCAAGGGCTTTTGAACAGGGGTGGGAGGTCCTGCAGGGCCATCGCCAGCGTGGCAAACGCCTGGTCGTTGATGGAGGCGCCCCGGAGCAGGGCCTGCAGAGGGGGCGGAAGAGGCGGGGGAGGCAGGAGGCGGGAGGTAGAGGTTCTGTGGCATTTCATGAAAGCCTCGCGCGTCATCTTGCTGACTATAGCGAATCGGCGCTAACCGACGTTCATCGACGCTGACTGACGCCAAATTGACGCTGAGTTGGGCGCTTCTTCGACGATTGCCAGACGGAAGCGCACGCTGATGCACTCAAACGACTGAACTTTGAGGACGTGCAAGACTCTCGCGTCTTGAAACCTATCACTACAACAACAGGTTGTTTTTAATTATATGATCTGCCTCTGTGGGCCTCGAAAGGCCCGCGGGACCGTCCACAAACGGCGCAGGATGAAAAATCAGTTCCAGTGAATGGGTCGAAACCTCGGGCGTTCCACGCCCGAGGCCTTGGGGACTGATATTGGAGGAAGAGAGGGGGAGGAAGAGGAGGACGGCCGGAGGAAGTGAGGGAGTAAAGGAGGAGGAAGAGGAGGAAAAGGAGGAAGAGAGGGGGGTGAAGAGGAGGAGGAGGAAGGCAGCAGGAGGGGGACGAGGGCAGGAGGAGGCTTTTACCAAGACCGTCCACGGCGACAGCACGACCGAAATCCGATCGCACCGACAAAAGAAACGCCACTGGAAACAGAGGGCGCAGCGACGACCCGAAAACCGACCGAGCCGAATCGACCGAATGCAACTGACTATACGACGCAGTCGAACCGATCGAAACGCGGACGCCCGTGTTTACGTGTTTTTCCACTTTGGGCACCTACTCGAGCGTCCTCGTCGCTATGGCGCTAAGGCTGGATCCCCCGTCAAAATTCCAGCCAGAGCACACTCCACGTTGAGAAAGAAAACCCTGAGACCCGACGTTACAAAGGAATTGCAACATCGTAAAAAATGCAAGGAATCTGTGAACCCCGTCATTCTTCTGTGTCATTCGAGCCGGGTGGGGGACCGAAACAAGACCAAATCGCCCGTTGTGAAAAAAGTTAGCTCGAAAATTTCAGAGCAGGGCAGGCTAAGTACGAATCTGAGGCGTATCATATTCAAACGAAGTAATGCCCAAACGTCTTCATACTTCTGCTCTCCGGAAGTCATTTTGGACGATTGGGGCAACCCTGGAACGCCCTCGATGAGGCCGAACTGATGGAGAGCACCCAAAGGCTGGAAAACAGCCGTGAACTGGCAAGAACGTTGATCCGCTGACGTTGCCCCTAACCTTGTAGTGACCCCCTTGGTGCTGACCGAGACCTCCAAGCGTGGCTAGATCTGCTTGGACTCCGCACCTCCGATACACTCAACCTGCTGCAACAAGGAAGGCCGAATGCGGAACGAAACCTCTTTTGGGCACTGCAAGGGCCTGAGTGCGTGAGGAAGGCTAGTTGAACAACCACGGAATGACCTACGGAACAGCGAGCCCCTTCTGAACCCTAAGCGGACCTTTTGTCAACGTCTTGACTGCCTAGTCAACCCGAATCATAAGGACGCGCGACGAGGATGCACGGGCCTTGGAAGGCCATGCCGACCGACACTTTGCAGGCGGGGCGCGGCCAGCGAAAGCGGCCAAGGATGGGCCGAAGGGGAAGGATGTAAGGACAACCTTGGAAAATCGCTCATCCCTACTACTATTCCGGAATCTAGTGAACCGGGTCAATCCAGACCCGGGTCAGTCAGGCCTTGCAGGATCCTGCAAGATCCTGCAGGATCCTGTGAGATCCTGCGCCCAAACCCAGGTCAATGCACCCCTGGCCCTGCAAGATCCTGCAAGATCCTGCGCTCTGGCTGACCCCCGTTTGCATTGACCCCCGTCTCTTGAGCCCCGAACTGTGCGGGTTGACTCTGCAGCGGGGTGCGGTGCCCTCGTAGGTGCCGCGCGTGGCGGTGACGGAGTCCGGGGCAGGGCGAGCAAGCGGCAGGCGCGCCGAGGGGCCCCCGAGCTCCCCGAGGGCGGCGGTGCTCGTGCTGGCTCGTGCCCGGCGGCCGCCCGGGATCCAGAAAGGCCGCGGGTACATCGTGTTTCCTGGCCCCTCGCTTCCGCCCGCCCCCCCCCCTCCCCACTCCCCCCCCCTTCCTCCCGCCCTCCCCCGCAGCGGCTCTGCGAAAACGCTGGGCCGCGCGAGTTTGAGCTCTGCCTTTCCTGGCCCCCGGAGGTGCCGAACTTGACCTGCGTGGAACGGACCTGACGTCGCACGTGGACGGCGGTACTCGGGCGGGCTAACTCGGCAGCGGCCTGGAATCTAGGAATTGCTGTGAATGATGCTCGCGCGATCCGTTTTCTGGGCATGCGAGTCAAACCGCACAGGAGGTACGAAGTGAGAGCCGGAGTTGAACGGTGACAGCGTGTGAAATCTGTTGGGCTTCAGAGGGCAGGAGGAAGGAGGAGGGATGATCATGGTTCGGACGTCGTTGAAAGAATTCGAAGAATTCGGTGGCGTCCTGAGGTCCTGCCGTGTCCTACTGAGGGGTGGTCTGGGGATCCAGTCAAGCGGTTGTCTCGGCGCGCTCCGCCCTGCCGCCTCCACCAGGCAGACCCTGGGACAGAAGAGCACCCTGCAAGAACATGAGACCCTCCGCCGGCCAAAGCACACAGAACATCCAAGGCTACCCTCTCCAAGATGCACAAGAAGATCCAACAAACACGAAGAACATGAGGGTACACTCTCCGAACCGACTTCGATCTTATACCTCGGTCCGACTGTACGAATCGCTCCACAGCGTTCTGGGCGTTCTGGAACGCTCTCAGAGCGCTCTGGAACGGGCGCGGCGCCCGACACATCCTCCAAGCTCGCCAGGTCTCAGAGATGCCCGATGCGTCTCGTTCAGATTGTAAGTTCTTCTTGGCTAGATCCCTGGACGTTCCTCCCTTCCCCCTCTCTCAAGGAGGAAACAACTATGTATCCTGGTTAAGCCGACCCATCCTGGGCTCAGGGTTGGGCTGGCCAAGTTCTGCGCTGGTGTACAATGCGCGTCTCCCGATGCCTTCCCACTCCTACCCCTGCTCGGATGTCGGTAAACCTGTCCTGGATCCGCGAGCCTTCCCTTGAAGAAAAACACTACGGACTCCTGAACTCCCAGAGGTCCGCGCAGATTTCTTGGGTCGGCGCTGGACCTCTCCCTTAGGTGATCGTTCTGCGGAGCCTCCTGGAGCTACTCTGTCCATTCATGCGGCGATGCTGCGTCGAACTTCCGCTGGCTTGAGCCAAACTTGGATTGAAGTAACTAGAGTCGACCAGATGTGCGAGGTGAGCCCCAGGTGGACCCCGAAACAAGAAACTCACCCTTCACCCGGCGCGCGAAGCTGGCCAGGGGGCGACACCGAAGGCGCCACCAAGTGAATATGTCCAGAGTGGGCCGGTTCCCATAAAATCAGCGCGGACCTCCGAAAGCTTACGTTCGTGCCGCCTGTCGATACTCAATTCCGACCTCCCCCCCTCCCTCCTGCCCGCCTGGCTCTTCGCGACGTGCTCCGTCGGGGTGCAGGGCCCCGTTCCCTGCACCTCTCGATCAGCCCCCCCTTCCCCGCCGTCCGCCAATCTGGTGAACCAATCCGCGGCCTCAGAAGTTCCGACCGCTTCCCGAGATCACGGATCCACTATAGATACCCAGGGCCCGAAGACGTTCCCAGAGGGCGGAAATCGAGGGAAAAAACGCCGTTGGAACAAATCAGTATATCTTCGGGGACCTGGGCTCATCGCCCCTCACAACCATACGCCCGAACACCTCACGTAGCCGCGCATCCATCAGGGAGGTCCACTGACCGAAACTGTCCCCGAATATCCGCCCGAGTGTGACCGAGACGGGCGCCATTTTTTGAACGCGCCAGAGAGTGATCGAAATTCCAATGCCGAAACCAAAGCGATGTTCAAGTTCGGTCTCAAAATCGGCCACACCATGCGTTCGGTCACAACTTCGGGCACGTGTTCGGCCACCGTGTATCGTTTCGGCCACATAATTACCTGTTCGGCTGATAAGGGCCAGGCGCCCATGCAGCTTCGGGGGCGTTCAGTAGGGGGGTCCAAGAGGGGGGGTCGAAAATCATGGCCCGAGGCACGAGCGCGGCCCGGGGGAGCCAGGGAACGTATAACAATGAGAAGAGGCGCCATGAAATCTGGGGAAATACCATGACCTTGGCCATGATATTCTCCCCCTCCTAGTCATCATCCCCCGTGGCCGCACCCGAGGCTTGAGTAACCGAGGGTGGGGAGACCAAAAGGCACAGATATCGCTACACCCCAAACCTCTCCCGGGGTGCGTTCTGGACAGAATTTCAAGGGGAGTCCAGCGGTGGCGACGAAGGCCTCCCAGGAGGCCCGAAACGGAGGGAAACGACCGAAGGGCAGCATCATCGGTACCCGTTCTCCTCCGAGAGGGGGGGATCTGGGGCCTGCTGCAGGTCCTTCTGGCGCATCCAGTTCTCCACGACGCGCATCAATTTCGCCGAGGCCTGGCTGCCGCGCTCCTGGCGCTCGGGGCGGGGCGCGCAGCGAGGCGGGGGGCCCGGGACTCCCACGGGGGGCGGGGGGGGGAAGCGCACTGCGGAGCCCTTGATCAGCGCTGCGGAGCCCGTCGGGGGAGGAGGAAGAGGAGGAGAAGGAGGAGGAGGAAGAGGAGGAGGAAGAGGAGGAGGAGGAGGAGGAAGGGACGACGTAACCAAAAAGGTCTGTCCGACCACCGGCCTCGATCTCGGTCGACGCGGATGCATCGACGGAGGGAGAGTGGGCCCCAGCTGGGTGGCGCTCGTTTTTTTTTTCGGCCTCCCGAGGGGCGGCGCAACCCTTTGCCACTTCCGCCACCAGCAGGGCCCACAAAAAGAAGGTGCTCGAGGCAGACCAGATCTGAAGATAGGCCTCGCAAGCGGGGGCAAAAAAAGTGAAGAGAAGAGAGGCAAGGCACTGCTGGTGACTCATCACAGCAACCTGCCGCCGCCGCAGGATCTTCGAGCGCCCCCCCCCCCATCCCACATCCTACGACCCACCACCAGGCAACGCCTGGCAAATCCACACCCTCGGAACAGAGTGACAACAGAGCACAGAATCGGTAAGAGGGTCTCACCGTTCAAGTGCCAGTTCTGCGGCACCTCGAATAACAGATGCTCGCTCCAGCGACAAAGGCGTCTTCTGCGCGAAACCTTTTGCTTTATGGTACATATGAAAAACCAATGCAATTGCCTTAAGGGCATTCCTCTCGCGTCAGTTCCGATCCCGTCCGCCGGTAGACAGACGCCGCCCCCAACCCCAACAGAACAGTCGGCGATCCTGGGAGGTGGCGCCTTCTCCACGCAGGGTGCATTGCAAGATGGTGATACATTCTCGAGCAACGCAGATAGTGAGCAATCTCATCAGGCTCTGAGCAGCCCCAAATGCAGCTCGTGGGGGCGTTGCCTGTGTGCAGTCGGTGCGTGGTTGTCCACGCTCCGCAGAGGGTCTTGATGACACTCCATTTCCAGGCGGGCTTGAGACTCGCGATGCAGGTCCGACAGAGATCCCGCCGTCCGACCACCGACCTCCGCCGCCCAGGAATCGGGGCCTGCCGCGCGAGAAGCCTTTTACCCAACGTCCCAGGAAAAGAATCAGGGAAAGCAGCAGCTCGAAGCGTGCGCGCAAAAATGGGCTGTGGATGCGGGCGACGGGCTTCCTGGATGGCCAGTCTGGCGCGATCACGCGCAGCGCGAAATGCTGCGCGCCATCCAACCTTGCCAAGGAAAAGAGGGGGCGGAAGCCTCGCCCGCTCCACGAATTGTGCGATTGAGACGGGGCGCCTCCAGCAGGGCGCTGAGTATTTTCCTGCGATGGAGCGAACTATCGTGGCATTGCCTTGGGCATATTCTTTCAAACTGTGTAGCGCGCGCTGCCGCGTGTGGTTCATAATGCGAAATGGGGTCCGCCAGCTGCTAGCCCACACAGGCAAAGAGACAGAGGACGGGGCGATGGCGAGCACAGATGGCAGAGCATTCAGATCAGCAAGACTGAAGCTGTTCGTCGGAAGCCTGAGCAGCTTGTGCACAGCCTGCTGCCCAAGTTCACGAATCATAACAGGGATGGGAATGAGTTGGGCGAGGTGCGAGAGCGTCGAGGGAGCGGCGGTGTTGCGCATAATTGAAAGGACAGACGCCACCAGCTCCACAGCGTGGCAGAGCTATCGCCCACGACCACCACTTCTCTGCTGCGTTAGCCCAGATCATGCTGAGTGCGGCTGAAGGGCCCATATCGACCCCTAGGCAGACAGTGTGGCCAGCGATCTTAAAGTTGGCCCACTGCGGGATCCACCTACAAATCTCTTTCGGACCCTGTCCTGGACGGCCTCTGTGCACTCAGTCCACAGCGGGATCGGGGCACATTTAGTGCCTCGGAGCCTGAGACAGGCAACGCGCTCAACTTCCAGAAAAACACGGGAGACGCCAACCAGGTATCGAATGCGAGGCATCACCGTTCCGACATCGTCAGCACAACCCCCGAGAGAGTCCTTGCGGCGCCTCGCCTGCGGGAGCTGCGTGGCCGCGCGCAGACATATCAGGATGGATCCATTGCAAGAGCCCAGAGATAACCAGACAGAGGGCACCTTTGCAGGGCCCCCGAGCAGAGATGAAAGAAGAAAGCACTTCGATTTTAAATATTAGCAAAACCTCGGGGAAGAAATTACGATGAATGGATGAGGTTCCGGAAACCCGGCGGGGGCCCAATCCTACTCATAATCTCGAACAACCACTGGTGGCCGACAGAAGGGAACGCCGCCTCCACATCGTCGTAGGCAGCGAAGATGGGGAAGTCCTCCTCAGCTTCGGGGGAGATGCTGGCCTTGCGGGCCTCGGCGTCCAACGTGATGATGCTGGACAAGATATTACGTCCTGGGATGAATCCTTGTTGAGCCTCATGGGTCCGATCTTGGGCAAATTGACGAATCTGGAAGTTGGCGGCGGATTCCGCGATCTTAGTGCCTGTATTCCTGAGGCTAAGCGCCGAACCTTCCGTTGGGACCGCGCGCGCCCCTGGGCATCTTCTGGCCCTGATCCTTTGGAGGGAAAAGCGAATGGGCTATCGTTGAGCTCGAGGGGCACCGGGTGTCCGCTGCACAGGTACGTCAAAAGTTTATGCAAGACAGTAAGTTGTTCGGGCCTAGCTTTCCACGCCGCGCATAGCATATGATCAGGGCCAGGGGCTGACCGCCGTGCAAATTTGAAGGCACGTGGGAAGTCTAAGAGGTAGAAGGTCTTGCTGAGGGGCAACCTTGTCGAGGCGCCCCATGAAGGGCCTTCTCCTGAACTACTTTGGCGCCGAGGATGGGTTTCCAATGGGGGGCCAGTGCGGAAGCAATCTGCCCAGGATCCCCGGCCGCAGCTGGGGGCTCTTGCAAGCTTTCCGGGTCGGATCCCTGCGAGAACGAGGCGATGAACTTTGGGGGCCCAGGGATTAGCGCGTCTCTCGTGCATCCTTGAAGCTCGTCTCATCCTCGACCACCGCCCTCTCCCCTTCGGATGCCCTGCTTTCAGCAAGTCTGGCCTCCATCTGCCCGAACTCGTAGTTGGCGGCATGGGCGACGAGGGCGAACTCCTTCCTGTCGGGGAGCTCGACGGCGCCGTTGGACACGCGAAGGATGCGCGCGCGATCGGCGGTGGCGGCCCTCAGCTCCAGGGCCGCGTGGACGTCGTTGCGCCAGAGACATCTTGCTATTGCTCTCAGAGTGATGATACGACCTCCCGTGGCACGGGAGTCTTTGGCCGATATCGGAAGTCGCTGAAATTCATCGCGAACCTGACGAGCAGCCTCCGTCACGAAGTCTTTCATGCATCGCCATTGGTGCACAACTGGAAACCGATCAAGCCGAGCCGCATTGAGAAATTGTCCTAGCGGGGGCCACGAAAGACTTGCTCAGGTATGATGGCCTGTTAGTCATGTCGATCGCGGTCGCGAAGGTGACGAGTAATCGGCGCTCGGTCACTGAGCCTGGAGTCAGATGGCGGCCAGGTCAATGTCAACCTCCGCTAAGACGTCGACATCTAGGAGAAAGTGCGCTGGAGTTCCAATAAAGACACGATCCAAGTGGCTGCGGTGGCCGTGTCTCTGCAATCGCGCGCGGGGCAACCCGTCGACACTCAAGTGGGCATGGCGGAAAGACGTTCCCAATATGCTTGCAGGGGTTGAGATCCACGACTACGCTCAGCAGGAACAGAGCCAGGGACGAAGCTCTCCGACATGGGATCAACGCAGCCGCGAGTCGGGCCCGTTTTGGCGTCGAAGCCACCCGCAGCCATACATGCTCTCATAGCGAGGCCTTGACGGTTCCAAGCGACAAGCTCCCTCCATGTATTCCGTGTCATGTCCTGCGCTCGGCTATCCAGCTCGAAGTTATGAACGCTCATGATGTGCGCGGTAAAGTGGTCTGTTGAAATCGAACAGATGGGTCATCTGGGCCTCTGATACCCGTTGGAACCAAGAAAGCAGCGCCGCCGGACTTCTGTGAGAGAGGGTTGAAACACATCTTGCACGGGCACGGGTAGATCGCTAGTGCAGCGGTCAGCTCGTCCAGCGTTCCACTGCATTTTTGATCCAGAATCGCCGCCCCCCCCCCCCTCGCATGAACGAGGCAAGTTTGTCGAGCTTGGCTTTGCGAAGATGAGGTCTGTAACGAAGCAAGCTTCTGGAATTCCAAGAAATGACCGTGCCATTGCGCCGTTCCTGAAAAGAAGTCCACGGTGAGCATCGTCTGCAGAATAGACCACGTAGACGCATCCACGCTTGCGAAAGCCTGTCCGAATGCAGCCACCAATGGTTGCTTGTCAATCTTGAAGCGAGGATGGGCACATCCCAACGAAATTTGGAATGTTCATCTGGGCCCTGAACTTCGACGACCACGAGCGGAACAGCATCAAAAGTGATGATGCCCTTGGCCCGCTGTGCTTCGACATTGTGATGTGCGAAGGCGTCCTGTATGATGCGCTGGAGGCGTTTTGTTTGAAGCTCCAGTCTGATCTGCTTAGCGCTCTTGTCGGCGCTGACGTATACAGGGGCGTTGACCCCTCCTGTGTCAACGCCGCTGAATGTGCGGAAGCCAGCTGAAGTCTTGAGTGCTCGAGAGGAGTGCGAGAGCTCGACCAGGGGCAGCTGCGCCTCCTTGAACTTGCACGTGGCACCGCCGCTGAGGCACGTCACCATGAAAAACGACTTGATCAACGGGAGCACCAGAAGCATGCATCCATTCAGCCAGCGCCGTTTTGATAGCCGCTCGTGCCATTGCTCCCGGGGCTCCGATGCTGAGCGCTGTAGGATCTGGGGTTCGGTCCCATGTCGCAAGCTTCTGCGCGTCAAAGGGGACTGCCGCTTCTGTCATAGCCAGAGTTTGTTCCATAGCCGGAGTTTGCTGCCGCAGGCGCTGTTGACATGACTCCACCTTGTCTGCTCGTGATTGTAGTTCATGCATACTTTTGTCATGCACCTGGAGGTGTGCTGCGTTCTGCCTGCTGGC